TGGATGTCTGCAGCTGTTTCTCTTCAATTTGAGTGGTGCCACATCAGCAAATGGAGGTCTCGAAAGCTTTACCTTATCCATATGAGTAAGGCTGGGTTTACTCAGATGATGCAGCTCTTTCCCAGTCCTATTTTGAGAGCCTTCTAACCTAACCGGACTATTCATAAAGTTGTGTGGTGATGTATCAAACAGTGTTTCTTTGCTATTCATAAGGTTTTCCCTGGCCAACTCTTTGAGAAGTGGATGGCCTCTTCCTTCTTCCTCGTCTGTCTCAGTTTGTAAACTGAGCTGATACCTGTGCACCATGTGCATCCCACTGGGTTTGAAACACCAGTGGCTGAGCCTCAAAACTCACATCACCATGTCATCCCAGTAGGACAAACCAACAGACAGGTTTGTCTCCCTGTTGGAAACCTCTCGTACCACCCACAGTAGACGTAATTAAATCACAGGTCCATTAGGAAAATAAAGTTTAAAGCTCTACTCAGAATTCCAAATATCTATGTATTTATCAGTAAGGAGCTCTGGTGATGGAGTGCCTAAGGCATTTGACTGCTAATCAGAAGGCTGGTGGTTCAAACCCACCAGGCACTCTGCAGAAGAAAGATGGGGCAATCTACTTCCATAAAGATTTACTGCCTCAGAAACCCGATGAGGGTCGCTTTGAGTCAGAATCGACTCAATGGCAGTGGGTCTGGTGTTTTGTTTTTTATATATTTATCAACAGGGAGCTCTGGTGGCATACTGCCTAAGGCATTTGACTGGTAACCAGAAGGCTGGCAGTTCAAACCCAACAGCCACTCCTCAGAAGGAAGATTGTGCAATCTACTTCCACAGTGATACCTCCTCGGAAACCAGAGGTATCACTGGATAGCTAAGGAGGGGTAGCAATGAGTCAGATCTGACTCCAGCACAATGAGTTTGGTTTGGTTTTTTGATATCAATAGGGCTGATTTAGTCACTCCACAAGTTCCATGCTATTAAAAATCAGAGAAACAACTTCTAATTAAAAATAACAAATGAAAAAAAGCAGCACAAGCCAATTGGGTACTACATGAACTTTATTTTTAATTATATCATGGAATATGTCATCAAACAAATGAACTTATGAAAACTTCTGTAGTTCAATTAAACAGATGATTTGTGAAGGAATCGCCAGTTTCAAATCTTAAGAGGTGGAGCTAAAACAATTGTGAATTAGATTATAACAAAGTAAGAATCGTCTACCTGTGTACAAACTAGAATGCAATATAAACTTTAAATAACAGACTTTTTGTTCAGTCTTTGGTGGGTAATAGAACCTTGTTACAGATAATATCCTAATCTCAACTAGATCAAAGGTGATTCTTCTAACCCAGACACTTCTTACCTACAGTAAGAGGGCTTCCCTTGAATATTGTTAAAGCTACTAGATTTGTTTTATTGGCCCTAATATTGTTCAAGAACATAACCCACTGAAAACAGCCTAAGGAATAGGCCAAGGACAACATGTTTAGTGAAAGCATTAGGTTTGTGATTCATCTCAGTTATCTTTTGGAATTTTGTTATCAGTACCCACAGTGTTGTTTTGACTTTTATCAGTGATGAGCAACCATTTTTGGCAGAAGAGCCAACTAAGGGAAAAAATATAAAGCATTTAAGGCCACACTATTTTCCTTTTCAAAATGAATATAGCTTTATGAATTCTTATGAGGGGGTGTATTTGTACACCTTTGTTGAATAAAAGGATGCCAATGAGGAAATTGGCAATGTTTTTAGCTACCAAAATGTATCTATCTGGGTGTTTTAGCAACACAGACAGAATTTCTAATCTTTTACACTGAAATTAGATTACAGGTTTTTGTATAGCTAATCAGGCTATATGCAACTCTGGGGGCTATGGGTTGCTCATTACTGATTTATACATTGTACTAACTACATAAAGTTCTCAGGCAAAACAGGCTTTGCTTATGATATTGATCAAAATGGGCTGATTTTTGTTGCATTGATTGTAACATATTTTTAAGAGAATATTTTCTTATTTCAAAAATTATACTGTCATTTATTGCCTTAAAGATAATGCTTTCAGTACAACTAAAAATTGGTAAAAAGAAAAATTCTGGGATTACATTTCCCATCATCTTAACATATCCTTTTACATAGAACATTGGCTGGAAACCAGAGCAGAACATGAATAAGAAAACTAAAGACATGTTTAAACAATAGAAATACCATCAGTGTTTACTATGGTATGTTATAGAAAGAAGGTTTAATCTTTGAATGTGCAATTAGGCACTGACTGAGGCATTTAGACACCATTGATTATAAAGTGCATTGAATACAAATTTTGACCCCTGTCCCCCGCTCCCCCCAAAAGAATCATTCAATAAAACCCAGGTATCTTTCTTGGAATCAAACAGTTAAGAAACATGCATAGATGAACACTTATTAAATGCTATATAACAGTCTTTTATTACTTACACTCCTGCAATAATAACAGCAACATACTGTACTTGCATATATCAGATTTTCTCTAAGGACCTTAAGGTCATTGCATGAAGCAATGTGGTATTGAAGGTTAAGGTTCTTCAGCTTTATGAATTCTTATGAGGGGGTATATTTGTAAGTTTACTTACTTTTGGCATGGGAAAAACATTCACAAATAGTAGATCCAAAACAAAAGCTCAAAGAGACAAACCTAAATTTCTTGTGGCTTGTGATTTCCAAATCTGCCATTGTATTCTAACATACCTAAAATGTTGATTCTAAGGAAAAATTAGTTTTACATGTCAGGAATAAGATGAGGATCAACTAACAAATACTTAATTTGTCTTTTTTTTTAATTTTTGTAATTGGTCTTTTTATAGTTTGACAGCCCATCTTTGAAAAGCAAATGATGGAATGTCAGAAGTGGTTTATTTACAGTGTATGTTTACACATCAATTCATAATACTTATAGCTATGATCCTTGAGTAGAAGAAAACATTTTACATTGGAATGACATGTCTGTATAAATAATATGAGGGATCTACATATTTTCACACACCTACATTTAACACAAAAGCAAAGTGAATCAATTTATTGAAGGTCAGACTTTCCATCTTCAACAAGAACAAGGCTTCCAGTCTCCTTGCCTAGTATTGAAAACCTTGTCTATCTTAAGGTTTAACTGAGAGACCTAAGGTAGCACAGTTAAAATGAGTTTCTGTGAAATCCATGAACATGCCAGGCCCAACTGGAGCTAAGTTACAGCCCAGTGTGAGAAGCCCATGGTGAATGAGGGGAAGGGGCCCAGAGCTGTTTTATTCGCAACTCAAAGCATGGCTCTTCTCCATCGGGACCCTAGGGGGTGGACATTCTGGGTATTTTCTTTCTTAAAAGAATTTCTGCCTTTATTAGAAAATCAATTTATTTTTGGATAATGTGGTTAAAGTTTCTATTTTTCTATTAAATATGGAATTAAGTTAGCTCTTCCTATGAGCTTCTTTACTTTGGAGGAGACGCAATATACGTTCATTTCTGGTTAGTTCTGCTGGAAGTTCATTGGCCTGAAAGAGGAAAAGCCAGGTATTAGTAAATTCTTGCAGTGGGGGTGATTTTAGGAACTCCAAAGAGGGCATCTGACTGAAACTTTCTCCTCCACTGATGAAAAATCCCTTCAGATGTATCTTTTGTGTTAGTGCCTTAACTAAGACAAAAGTATAAATATCACATGCTATTTTCTTATCTCATTGTTAGAATTATTGTTCTGTCCAACTACATTCCTTACTAGGCTGTAATCTCCTGTAGGGCAGGTCCACATCTTGTTAATCACTGTATCCTCTTTTTCCAACACAACACTTGGCACATCCAGTAGGAGCTCGATCAATGCTAGTAAAATTAAATTTGATACCTGTCTTAGTTCTCTAGTCACGCTGTAACAGAAATACCACAAGTACATGGCTTTAACCAACAGAATTTATTCTCTTACTGTTTATGCAGCTAGAAGTCCAAATTCAGAGTGCTGACTCTAGGGGCTGGGTGAAGGCCTCTCAACCTTGGCCTTCAGCTCTGCCTCTTTTTCTAGGCCTGCTGGAGCTAGAGCTGTCTCCTAACTCAGGCAGCTGCTGGTTGCTGAGGCTGATGAACCCAAGGTTGGCAGGTAAAATGGCACAATCCCAAGATCAGTAGGCAACATGGCAAGGCCACTGGTTCAAGTCCAGGAACTGGAGATGAAGACTTGGCCAAATGCAGGATCCAGATGTGCCCAAAAGCTAAAGACCTTCCTCAAAGCTTCTCCAAATACACTGGAAGCAGGCAACTACTTAGCTACTCACAGCAGGTTCCACCATGGAGGTGATTATAATCTCATCATGGAGAATGACTACATCCACCTGCTGAGCACTCAAAGCCATGGCCCAAGTTGACACACAACCTTAACCACCACGATACCATATATTTAAATTATTATACGAGATGGCTTGTCCCAAGAGACTTAGGACTCAGCACAGGTATCTTTTGATGAAAAGGTAGATGTAGGACACATGCAGAGCATAAAAGATACCTGGGAAAGATCAGCTTTAGTTCAGTGGCTACAACTTCTCACCTGACCCAGTCTCATTGATGCTCTTTCTTTCAATATTGCTGTGAGACCTATTCTTTAAGCCTTTAGTGAGCAAGTCTTTACCATATGCAATAAATGTTATGAGGCAGTAGTTCTCAAACTTTTTGGTCTCAGGACCCCTTTATACTCTGAAAAATTATAGAGGACCCTGACAAACTTTTATTTTTAGCTTATTAGAAATCAAAACTTAAAATTAAAAAATATATATTTATTAATTCATTATAAAAGAAAGCCATTTAACAAATATTTATGAAAAATAATGAAATTTTGAAAAACAAAATAAAGGAAGATTGGCATTGTTTTATAGTTTTGCCAATTTCTTTAATCTCTTGGCTTAATAGAAGACAACTGGATTCTCAAATTTATCTCTGATTCAATCTATTAGGATATGTTATTTGGTTGAAGCATATGAAGGAAATTCAGAATCTACAGATATGTGGTTGGAAAAGGGAGGAGTATTTTCACAGCTTTTCCATGTAATTGTGGATACTCTTCTTTGATGCTATACCAGTACTCTACAAATGGTAGATACTTAAAGGATAGTTACAATGTGAATCTGAAAGCACATTAATGGACATTTTATGCTCTGTTCATTAAAGTCTGTGGGACTGTGCACTGAGAGCGGATCTTTCACCCATGCATGATTTATGACATCTGCTTTGGTCATTTGGAAAATATTGGTTTACTGAATTATGCAGATCTCCCAAGTGTTGCTCCATCTCATTATACAGAATCAAAAAAAAAAAAAAATCACATTCATTAATACTACCATTGCTTTTTCTAGAAAAGCCTTTAAGTATTGGGAAGCTGTCAAGGTCACGACACAAATTTTACAAAATTCTAACTTTCATTTGATAATTTGAATTTTACCATTGGCAACAAACACTGCTAGTTATTTTCCTTGAAGTGACAGGCTTACTTTGTCATTTTTGATCAAATTTCTGCCAAATACCTGTCTTAATAACCACAGTCTGTTTACAAGTCATTCTTTCAGGTAAAAATGGTGTTCCACAAAAACAGCGGCCAGTTCCTCTTGCAGTTCAAGTCAGTGCACATTACTAAGGAGCTCTGGTGGAGTAGTGGTTAAAACATTAGGCTGTAAGATCATATACAGGGTTGGCAGACAATGGGCCTCTCAGGGTGCAGAAGAGTATGAAGGGATGGACACTGGGAGGAGGTAACTATGGGGAGGAAGTGGGAGGGGAGCTGCTGCATTGTAAATTTTGGTCAATGACATGAGACAAAGTATATGTGAACTGCTGTATGAAAAGTGAATTTACTCTGTAAATCTTCACCCAAATCCTAATTAAAAAAAAAAAAAAAAAATTAGGCTGTTAATCAAAAGGTCAGAGGTTTGAACCCACCAGCCGCTCCATGGGAGAAAGATGAGGCAGTCTGCTTCTGTAAAGATTTACATCCTTGGAAATCCTATGGAGCAGTTCTGCTCTGTCCTGTAGGGTTACTATGAATTGTAATTGACTCAATGGCAATGGAGTTTTGGTTTTTGTTTGAGATGCCATCTTACTTCAGTGTACAGAAGTGCTTCATGCTACTTCCTACTTTGTTACACAGAATATTAAAAAGACACATATCAAGAGTCAAGATTTATTAATTTTCTTTGTACTGCTTTATTAGACATTCTTAAGTGAAACTGGTGTTTTTGTAAAATGGTTTGCAAAATCTGAAAAATAACTCACAAACGTTTGTGAGATGATTTCACAGTACAGTTTGGTGTGCCTGCTCTGCTATGTATGGAGGAACCAACAGTTTCACCCAACATTACTTTCACATCTTTAAACATCAGAACAGTGAGGAAGGCAAATAACATCTCTGTTTCATATGAATACTGTTTTGATCTCTTGTTGTTGTTGTTGTTATGTGCCGTCAAGTCAGCCCTGACTCATAGCGACCCCTCCTTGGGTTTCTGAGGCAGTATCACTACAGAAGTAGGATCGCCCAACCTTACTTCCGAGGAGTGGCTGGTGGGTTTGAACTGCCAGCCTTCTGGTTAGCAGTCAAGTGCCTTAGGCACTATGCTACCAGAGCTCCTTAGACCCTCTGAAAGGATCCTGAGGAACCTCAGGGTTCCACAGATTACACTTTGAGAACTATTGCTATACACAAATCAAAAGGATGTTCTTGGATTTCAGAGGAGGCCATTACAGGTAGAAAGACAAACAGAATGGAGGAGGGGGACTGGATACAGATGTTACCCATCTCATATACATTTTCTCCTACAGCCAAGCCTGGGCCCCTGATCTTATGTGAAGCTCCTTATAGGTTGGATTCTACTCCCCAACCCCCATCTGGTGGCTGAGATCTCACTAGTTGGGAACTGTGCACAGATTTATTGAGAATTATGACTTTGCCACAAATGATCTGTTGTGCAGCATATCCCATAGCTATAACTCTGTCCACCATATTAGGACCCTTGGATGTTGTTGCTGATTGCCATTGGTGGGAAATTGCTAGGTTATGGCTGTGTGGACCAGAGGCCCCTCCACAGGGTCAAATTCTACTATCAGTTTCATTTCCACAGGTACAGATACTGTGTAGACTTACAGTCTGGGCCTGCACACCAATGCTCCTGGTAAACAGGACTATGCTTCATCTGGTCTCAGAGTAAACATTCAGGAATAACTGAACTGTTTGACATCAGTTACTGGTATTGGGTAGTCAACCTGGCAGGAAGCTAGAAGACCCACTCCAGCCATAAAGAAGAGAGCATCCAAGAAGCTGTACCTCTGTCTCCAAGCTTATCAGCTGCCTTTGTGACCATCTCCATAAGTGTCCATAAACTTTGCCTTAAAAAAGCCTTTTTACCCTCACTGTGTCTGTTGTCAAGTTTTGTCAACCACATCACTGTTCTGTGTATCATGTGTGCACTCCTAAAAACCTGGTCTTATTCTTTTCTCTGATTGTTGGTATCCACTGAATTCCCAGGGTGCAGAGGTTATATGGACAGTTACACTCACTAGTGTCCCAGGCTAGCCTCTAAAGTCCATCGTATCCATTATGAAGCAGAACTATAAGTCCATATTCATGATATTTAGCACTAAAACACTGTATTTCCCCACTATCCTTGGGGGAAGATGTGTTCTGAGTCTTCATTTGAGCGTATTAGAACACAGGACTCTGTGGGGATGGTGACAGGGTGGAAAGGGACTATTGGGGTCATTGGCTGGCTCTATCCTCAGGCATCTGCCTCTATTCCTGCATACCTGGAACCTCTCAGGGCCAGAGTAGAAGTCCTGGAACCCCTTGGGTGGAAGATTTCTAGTATTAGCTTAGAAGTAATTTTTTTCAGTGAAGTTTCAATAGTATCTTTATACCTCTGCTTATAACTCTTGTCATCCTATATCGGAATTGCTTATTTCATTGTCTTTATTCCCACTGAACTCTGAACTCCATGAGGACAGAGCCTGTTCATATTCTCAATACTTAGCACAGCATGTAGTATCTAGAAGGTGCTTAGTAAGTATTTGTTGAATGAACAAATGAGGCCAAGAATACTCCCTGAAGAGTCCTGTATGGCTGCTGGAATCCCAACACCCTTACCTCGAAGTTCTATTGAAGAGGCTGGCTTTGATGGTGGGCAGATGGGACGTTCCCTGGCAGTCACTCCCAGGTTGCTAAGGGCTTTCACAATATGAGGATCCAACATGAACAGAGGCTGCACGTGTATATTCAGAGTTTTAGGGAGGGTCTAAAGTCTAGCACTTTGTTCACTGGAAATGATTTACAACCATTATTGGTGAGATTCCAGGAGACACACAAGGAATTATGTTTTTCAATAAAAGGATACTAATGTGTTCCCCTACTTTAATTCAATACCAGGTAGTTCACCAGCAAAAACTGAGCTCTTTAGGAAGTCTGTGTATTAGGTCTAAAGACAAGAGGACAACTGTGATTTCAACTGGCTTATCACACAGCCAAGATACTAATGGAAAACAAATCCAAGCATCTCAGAAAGAGCTAAGCATAAATGTCTTTAGGAAGTTGAATGGCAGGAATAGGGAAATAAATTTATGTGCTAAGTGGAGTCACATTGTTTAAGTGGTTGTTGTTGTTGTTATTTGTCGAGTCGGCCCTGACTCATAGCGACCCCTCCTTGGGTTTCCGAGGCAGTATCACTACGGAAGTAGGATTGCCCAACCTTCCTTCCGAGTTTAAGTGGTACTTCTTAATATTTTTTTCCCCAAAATGTAATAATTATGCTATATATTTTTGTTGTTATTATTAAGAAATTTTAACACCGTAGCAGATGCTTATGAAAATTCAGGAAGTAAATAATTATAGAATAATGTAAAAGTTGCTTTTCACACTTTTTTCTATTTACAAGGGCCAATCCCACTTAGCAGTTTAAAAAGAAATTAGTCTAAAGGACATATAGTATACATAAACCCTGGCTTCACCTACCCTGAGACAAGAAGAACTAGATGTTGCCCAGCTACCACTACTGACCATTCTAATCAGGGCCAAAATAGATGGACCTTGATAAAATGGGAGAAAAATGTGGAACAGACCTCAAGTTCCTAAAAACAAAACAAAAAAAACAGACTTACAGGACTGGTTGATACTTGAGACTGGGGCACTCCCTGAAACTACTGCTTTGAGATACTCTTCAAATCTTGAGCCAAAAACTAATGGTGAGGTCACCCTGGAGCTAAATAACAGATTAGTTCATAAAATCACGAATATCACCTCTAAGCACTGTTCTCCTTTTTAAAATCACCTATATGAGACCAAAGGAGCTCTGTGGCATAGTGCCTAAGGCATCTGACTGCTAACCAGAAGGCTGGCAGTTCAAACTCACCAGCCACTCCTTGGAAGGAAGGTTGGTCAATCTATTTCTGAGGAAATATTGCCTCGGAAACCCAAGGTCTCTATGAGTTGGATCCAACTCAATGGCAGTGAGTTTGGTTTCTGGTATATGAGACCAAACAGTCAACAACTGCATTACAACAAAGATGAGAATGTAGCAGGGCAAGGAAACTAGATTAAGGGGATGGAACAACCAGAATGGGAATAATGAGAGTGTTCATGAACTGTGAAGAAAATAAGCAATGTCACTGAACAATTAGTGTAGAATTACTGAATGGGAAAATAAATTGCTGTGTGAACCTTTACTGAAAACATAAGCAAGTGTTATTATTTTTTTTTTTCAGTTGCCACTCTCATGCCATTTTTTACACACACCTATTACATCGTATAGTCTTTGTGCAATGTTCTCTTTCCCAAAAACAGAGTAAACCTTTTGAGCATAAGGGCCGTTTCTGCCTAAGTTGTGTCTCAAGTACCCTGCTCTTAGTGAGAAAGTATTATTTTTTAAAAAGTTAGTAGTTTAGTGTGTTTTCTCAAGATGTTTCGTAGGCGACTCTCTTCCTGCAATCTCTACATTTGATTGCTCAAGCAGGTGTTGAATAGGACAAAGTATAATGACAATCCCTTTCTCTATTGTTATTGTGCATCCTTCCATCTCCATATTTGGCCCAACTGCAAACTAATAAGCATTTAGAATTACAAAAACAATGGGTTGGTTTGTAATAGTGTTGAGTATGCCTACTAACAATATTAAAGCAACTTTCCTCCCGTGTAGCCACAAGCAATTCTCAAGGTATGAGCATCCAGTCATATAGGATGGTGACAAACTACCAGAACTTTGACATTTTGGGGGCATTCTTTGACGATAAAATACTCATAACCCTTACTCCTTGTAGTTGCTGCCTCCTTCCTTCCACCCCCCACCGAGGATGCTGCATCACTGTTAACTAAAAACTAAAAACCATTGATGACACCGGGTTGTTAGATGATACGTGGCTATTAGTAGTAGTACTAACCTGTTAATGGGAGCTCTGGTGGCATAGTGCCTAAGGCATTTGACTGGTAACCAGAAGGCTGGCGGTTCAAGCCAACCAACCATTCCTCGGAAGGAAGGTTGAGCAATCTACTTCTGTAGTGATAACTGCCTTGGAAACCCAAAGAGGGGTCACTATGAGTCAGATCCGACTTGACAGCAATGAGTAACTTGCTAATTGCAACTCTGCATGCTGTTACTAAACATAAGTATGAAGATAGTGACTGGAGCCAGAGGGATGCTTATCCCTGGCTTAGGAAGACATTGTTTTATCTCTTTGCAGAGGAGCACAATTTTATTAAAAATGGTAAAGCTGGTACCTTGTTTCGTAGGCCTGGGTCTGCCCCTGCTTCCAGGAGCAGAGCTACTGTTTTAACATTACCGCTGAGCACTGCGGCATGAAGGGCTGACGTCCCGTTCTAAGAGAAAAGACAACGTGGGTTAGAGTGAGCTCATAGACATCTGCACTTAGACATCATAGGCCAGCCGAGTGATAAGACTGACGTCTGACCCTTATTCTTCCTCATCTTCTCTCTTACATATATACTTTTTAGGATTTGTGGTGGGGGGAAATACACACACACAACACTATGCCAAATATATGTTCTCTTCAAGGACAATATATGCAGTCATTGTACTTTAGGGGAGCCACTTTCCGCAAGCATGGAGGAATGACTGGCTACCCAATGGGTCAGCCTATTATCCTAGCTGCAGACACTCTGCTCACACAGGTGGTGGGAGAGTGACAGTGAGTAAGAGCACACGAAGTGAGAAAAGTCCCATGATCTCTGCACAGAATGGCTTGGTGGATGGGGTGCTGATGTTTCATGAAATTTATTGAAAATATTTACTGAAATAAGAAAGCCAGATTCTGAGAAGGGAAGGCAAAGGAATAGAACCAACCTAATATAAAAACAATAGACAGACATGGCATGTGTTCCAGAGGGTACATATGTACATGAATGGAATCTAAATGCAAGCTTGGTTTCCTAATTAACTGCCTATAATAAAAAGTATACTCTGATTTTGGAACAGAGTATGATCTCATAGAGAAGAATTTTAGCAAAGAGGCATTTTCTACATTTGCTTCTATAATATGTACAGTAATTCACTAAGCTGGTAACATTTCACTTTACTCAATCTCAATCACCCTGCCCACTTCACTTATATGACATGGCTAAGAATTAAAAACCAAACCGGAAAGAAAAGAAAAAAGCCATTTGAAATGAAACTACATACTGCAAAGTCCATTTCTAAGGCTCATTACTTTTATTCATAGAGTTTACTTTCAAAGAATATTTAGTCTTACTTTACAGTGTTAACAATGGCAGCTTTTTGGTTTCCAAGCTCAGCAAGATTAGAAGCAGTTACTGGAACAGGGGAGAAAGGCCAGCACACGGACAACAGCAGTTATATTATTAGCTGACAGCAAGAATGGAATTTAAAAGTAAAAAGAGCAGACACGTGTTCAAAACTTCCTGGGGTCATTTAAGGGCAAGTAGATATGACATGCATCAATAGATCCTGAGGGCACAGCTCCAAAAGCACTAAGACACTGTGTCAAGTTTAGAACAGGTTTGGTATTCTCTGTTTAAGAAAACAGGAAAAGCCAGCTACCCAGAGCGACTGAGTAGTTGATCCTGCGGGCTTGGG